GTATCCTGGATTACCTTCATGGAAACCGATTATCACAAAGGTCCTAAAAAGTGGAAGAGGGATGCAGAAGAGAAGTTCAGGGCGATGCAATACGAGAAGGACTTGACCTGCTGTTGCTGGCTTTGAAGATGAAGGAAGGACCATGAGCCAGGGAATGTGGGCAGCCTCTAGAACCTGGAAAAAGCAAGGAAATGGATTCTCCCCTAGAGCCTCCAGAAAGGAATGCAGCCCTGCCAACACCCTGATTTAGCTCAGTGAGACCACGTTGGACTTCTAACTTACCGAAGAAATTTAATCCACCAAATTTTTTGGTAATTCGTGTGCAACAATGGAAAACTAATACACCCACCAACCAGAAACTGTTAAGTGTTAATATTTTATTATATATATTTCTAGATATTTTTATACACACATATGTATTTTTTTAACTAAAACAAGATCATGATGCTGTAAAGAGTTTGTTTTCCTTTAATAATAATCTTTCTCTTTCCCTGTCAATAAATTTTCATAGCATCTAATACTGCAATCATATTGAAATTACCCTAATTGTTCCCCAGCTATTCCCCCAAAGCTGGTTTGTCCAAATCAGGATTTAGGTCTGGGCCATGCATTTTTTTTTTTTTTTTTGGGCCATGCATTTTTAATGGTTTTATGTCCCTTAGGTATTTTTAATCTAAAACAGTCAGTTTTTTCATCTACTAATTTTCCTTCTCAATGTTTGTCTGATCGCTTCCTCATGTGGTCACTTAGCTTGCTCCTCTGTCCCCTGTATTTCCTATAAATTGGAAGTTACATCAGAGAGCTTGGTCGATTCACGTTAATAAATTTTGTCTAGAATACATTTTGGGTGCTGTTGTGTGTTTCATATGGCACTCCATCAGGAGGTACACGCCATCTGGTTTCCACCATTAGATATCGAAACTCAGACTGTCCTCTGGTTATGGGATGGCAGCCCGAGCTTGCTGCTCTAGAGGGATGTTATTCCCTTGTAATCAGAAAGTATTCTGTGTGGATTTACTTTAATACCATACAGATGTGCAGTTTCCCCTCAACTACGCACCTACTGGCCAGCTCCATCGGACAGCCCTTGCCTGAATGACCGTTCATGAGAAATCACAAAATGGTGATTTTTCTAATGCTATCATTTTTTTCTACATTAATTAGCTGCCATTTCTTAGTGAAGAGACTCTTTCCCTAATCAACTAGGTCTGTTTGGTTACCCTGACAAACATTTTGGATTGGGGAAGCATTTTGGACTGCTTCTTCCTTTAGTCATCAATTCTCAAAGGGAGGAATTTAACAACAACCTCAATGATGACAACTAATATTTTTCTGCCTCTTTTCGAGTATCATTATGAGCTCACAGATTTTCACAACATCAGGGCATTTCTCTCTAGAATCCTCCTGCGTGATCATGTTACCAATTTGATGTATGTTTAGGTTTTTCAATTCTAGGATGTTTTTTTAGTTGTAATTTTTTAACAGGTAATGCATTTATGTAATTCAATATCAAAATTATACGGAAAAATACTCCCAAAGAATTCTTATTTCTACCCCTGCTCCCTTCCCTCCTACATAACAATATTTTATTAGTTTCTTATTTATATGTCCAGTGTAGTGGGGTTTTTTTGCATATATAAGTGTGTGTGTGTGTGTGTGTGTGTGTGTGTGTGTGTGTGTGTATGGTGTAGATATACAGCCTTACTTTAACCCCTCTCCAATTCGTATATATACCCCTTGCTTTTTTTCTTCCACTTAATGGTATATTTTGGAGATCTCTCTATATCAGTACACAGAAGCCTTTCTCATTCTCTTTAGAACTTCTTAGAACTTCATTGTGTGACGTCCTGCAGTTTATTCAACCGGTTGCCTGTTGTTGAACTCTTGCATTCTTTCTAACCTTATATTATTGCAAAAAAATGCTTCAGTGAATAAACGTGTACATTTATTATCTTGTACTTGAGCAGATATAAAGGTAATAGATTCCTAGACTTTGCATTGCTGGGTCAACGGGTTATTATATCAGTAATTCTCTTTGTGTTTCTAGATTATCCTGCAAGGACTCAATACTTTTAACTACTATGCTAAATTGCTTCTTGAAGGTCTTGGTGTCATCACACAGATGAGTGCATTAAAAAAAAAATGGAGCCTTAAAATAAAAACATATTAACACTAAGGTGAGACCATGTAGCAACTATCTATAGAACTCTTGTACAATGCTGGGAGGAGCATAAAATGATACAATCATTCTAGGGGACGGTTTGGCAATTTCTATATTAAGTTAAACATGCATCTATCCCATAGCCAAGAAATATCACCTCTAGGTATTTACCCAAGAGAAATGAAAACATGTTTTGAAAAAAGAATTTAAGAAGTATATTCAGAGTAGCCTTATTTCTAATAAATCTAAACTGGAAACGACTCAAATGTCCATCAACAGTAAATGGATTAACAAATAGTGGTATATCTGTAGAATGTCACTCAACCATAAAAAGGAATGACATGTATTGATACATTAATAATGTGGATAAATCCCAAAATAATTATGCTGAGTAGAAGAAGCCAGACCAAAAAAGGACCGTGGGTTCCATTTATATGAAGTTCTAAAACAGATAATGCTAATTTATGGTGATTGAAATCAGAATGGTGGTGGCCTCTGTGAGTGCTGGGAATTGGCTAGATAGGATCAAGGTACTAGGGAACTTTCTGGGGTGATGGCAGTGTTCTATATTTTGATTAAGGTTGATTACGTGAGTGTAAACAATGATCAACAGTCATAACTGAATGCTTAATATCTTTGTAGTCGTTTTATTGTGTCATGTAAATTATGCCTTCAATTTTTAAAAATTTGGTCCTCAGCAAGACTCTTTAAGAAGTGACATAGCCTTCTTCCCTCATCACCCCAACCCTGTCTCCTCTCTTGTTCTGGATCTCTTAATACTCTTTACCTCTCTGACCCAGGCTTACATTTGACTAGCTTTTACTTTTATAGGCCCAAGTCTTAACTCCCTGAGTAGGTTGTAAGTATCCTAAAACAGAGTTAGGATCATGCCACCTCAATACCCTTTACAACAATGGTTGATAACCTAGGCTGCATATTATTAGAATCACCTGGTGTCTTAGCTCAGCCTGCCATAACAAAATACCAGGGGCTGTGTGGCATAAACAACCGAGATTTATTTTCTCACAGTTCTGGAGGCTGGAAGTTCAAGATCAGAATGCCAGCATAGTCAGGCTCTGGTGTGGCCTCTCTTCCTGGCTTTCAGATGGCTGCCTTCTCACTGTGTCTCACATGGCAGAGAGGGAGAGCAAGCTCTCTGGTGTCTCCTCTTATAAGGACACTAATGCCACCATGAAGGCCCCACCTCATCACTTCATCCAAACCCAATTACCTCCCAAAGGCCCCATCTCCAAATACTATCACATTGGGGGTTACAGCTTCAACATAGGAATTTGGGGGGGCCACATTCAGTGCATAGCACTTGGGAACATTAAAAAAAAAATTAGCAGTGCTTGAGTCTCATGCCCAGAGATCCTGATTCTCTTGATCTGAAGTGGGACCTGGACATCTGTATTTCTTTTAGATTCCCCTATAACATGCAGCTAGGGTTGAGGACTACTCTGTACCTTCCTGTTCAAGGTGAGGTCTGTGGACCAACAACATCAGCTTGTTAGAAATGCAGAATCTCTGGTCCCATCCCAGACTGGTGAACCCAAATTTGTATGGTAACAAAATCCCCAGCTGATTCCTTTGCACCATAAAACCTGAAAAATGCTGGTTTACGGCATCTTGCATAGACTCTCATATAAGTATAAGAATGCTTCATCAGTCAATTCCTGTTTAAATCCAAATAGATGAACATTTTGTCAGCAAACCAAATTTCAGCTTTTTTTCATCTTGGAAGCCTGGCAGGGTGCAGATCTTGCCTACAAATAATTGCACCTTAGTGTGAAGCTTTTATATATTGCCCGTATATCACTGTCTATCAACAAAAAAGCAGCAAATAGACCCAATGTTACAAACAAAATCCCAATGTTTTTGCAAATATTTATACTACCATCCCAGCAATTCTATCACAATGAATGATTACTTCCTTAGCTTCAGGTGAGCTTTAAAATTGACAATGAAACAGAATAAGGTACTTGTACTCCAACTGAAAGAGAAGTGGCATTTAGCACGGAGTCTGAATACTGTGTAACTAATAAATAATTCAGTAAACTAGGGGAAGAAAAAACACGCAAGCTTAAACAAACAGCAGAGCATTCCTAATGCTTAAAATATCCTTAAGGTTGGGAAATGAGAAGATTATTATATATGATGCTATTTTGTGGCACAGAGTGCTAGGTTTCAAAAGATTTGATTACAATAATTATGCTTAATACTAAAAATATAGAAAGGAATGCAGTCTTACCTGATGTTTCAGAAGGCACTTGAAGGTCTTGTCATCCATCAAGATCATCAATGTGGTCTTCAATATGAATGTGGCTCATGAAAGTACTGAATAAGAGATTCCAGGCTGACACACTAAAAATGATGAATTTCCACTTTCCCTTTTCAGAAGTATCTAATGGATAGTTCTTTATTTTTAAGAACTAGTAATATGAGAACCTTTGTGCTTAAAATATCCTCTGAATTCAGTATAAATGTGTTTTTAAACTCCAACCTCAAGGATAATTTCTGCTACTGCCGATTGGTCACCTCATTTTCCTTTCTGTTCGTAATTGATAACTTCCTCATTATTAATGACATAATTAACTTGTTTGCTAAATTATATCAAAATAACCTTCTGGTTTAGTTCATAGCACCCTTATGTTCTATCCAATAAACTAAAAAGAAAAAATGCTAATCTATGTTAAGTACACATACATGTATACACACCTACAAATTCACCTTTATTTATTTATTTAAAACCTTACATATTTTTTATTATTTTTTTTGGCAGTGCCACAGCTTGCGGGACCTTAGTTCCCTGACTAGGGATTGAACCTACGCGCCCTGCGGTGGAAGCGTGGAGTCTTAACCACTGGACCGCCAGGGAAGTCCCACAAACTCACCTTTAAAAGAAGGGAGCCTCAATAATGTCTTGTATTTAAATTCCATTTCCCAATGCTTACGGTTGACATTCATCTAATTAGTGATCTGATTCAACCCAAAACGTTTTTATGGGATGCCTATTGTGTGCCCAACAGAAATACACTTTGAAATTAAAAATCTTTTTTTCTTGATTGAATTATAGTTGACTTAAAATATTATATTTGAAACTAAAAATCTTTTATATTGGATAAACATAAAGAGAATTTATATCCCAGTGTTGCAAATATTGACCTTGCTGTTTCAGTAAAAATCAATTTAAAAGGATTTTTTTCCCCATTCCTTCCAAAACAACCTAGAAGATAATGGCATTTCTCCCTTAAACATTATACAAGAAAATCTCCTTTACATTAATAAAGTAAGAGACAGAAGTTTTTAATTTACATTTTTCCTTTTAGCAAAGATTTTTTTCTATTTTTATTAATTTTTAATGAAAAATAATAAATACACTTCTTACAAACAATTGAAACATTAGAAAAGGATATCCAGTGGGAAGTAGGTCCACATCTCTCAGAAGTGTTCCAGGCACATACAAACATGTGTTTTATATCAATTTATAGCTCCATCTTTGCACATCATCTTATTCTCTGCTTTTTTTCACAGGTGCCATGTATTCTTCCGTACCCTGATGTTTTTCACTTAAGTAATTCTGGAGGTTTCCCCAGAACAGTACATGTAGATCAAGCTCATTTTCAATGCTGCATGGTATTCCAGGTATGGATTTAACCATCCACTATCCATATACATTTAAGTTTTTTTTCTAGGCTTTTGATATTATAGACAGTGTTTAATAAATAATGTGAAAATGTGTCCTTGCACCTAGATGCTAATATCTTCAGAATAGAATCTTGAAAATAAAACTGCTGTGTCCAAGAATATGGGCATCTATAATTTTGATACATGATACCATGTTTCCCTTCAAAACGCTTGACCCAGTATGCAGTATCTCCAGAAGTGTTTGAGGGTGCCTGTTTGCCTGTATGGGTGCCCATACATCGTTTTAGCAATTCATTCCTCACTCTCTTATATCATTAGTGTCTCCCGCTCTACTGGATCAGTCGGAATACGAACATGCTCTTGTTTCTTGCATCTTAAAAGAAAAAAACCATTTATTGGCCCCACTTGCCCAGTCCATTACAGCCCCATTTGTCTGGTTCCCTTTTGTGGCAAAACTACTAGAAAAATGATGTCTACACTTACTGTCTCTAATCCTTCTCTTCCCTGTCTCCGGACGCACAGACTCAGCGGTCATGGCTCACGGGCCCAGCCGCTCCGCGGCATGTGGGATCTTCCCGGACCGGGGCACGAACCCGCATCCCCTGCATCGGCAGGCGGACTCTCAACCACTGCGCTACCAGGGAAGCCCTTCCCTGCCTTCTTGAATCTTCTCCAGTTAGGACTTTCAGCCTCACCACTTTACCAAAACTGCTTCCGGCAAGTTGCCAATGACCATTGCTTCAGTAGTGGTGAATTCTTAGTCTTCATCTTGCTCTGCTTGTGAGCAGCCTTTGAGAGGGTTGATCCATCCATTATTCTTGGACCATTTCTCGTGGCTTCAGTGATGCCACACTCTCCTTCAACCATACAAACTGCTCCTTCTCACTTTCCTTTGTTGGTTTCTTCCCATCTCCATGACGTCTTTTCTTTCTTTTTTTTAAATAAGTTTATTTATTTATGGCTGCATTGGGTCTTCGTTGCTGCGCGCGGGCTTTCTCTAGTTGTGGCGAGCGGGGGCTACTCTTCGTTGTGGTGTGCAGACTTCTCATTGTGGTGGCTTCTCTTGTTGCGGAGCACGGGCTCTAGGGGCATGGGCTCAGTAGTTGTAGTGCACGGGCTTAGTTGCTCTGCAGCATGTGGGATCTTCCCGGACCAGGGATGGAACCCGTGTCCCCTGCACTGGCAGGCGGATTCTTAACCACTGTGCCACCAGGGAAGTCCCTCCATGACATCTTGATGTTGGAGTGCCCCAGGTCCCAGTCTTTGGACCTCATCCCTGTCTGTGCCTCTCCTTTGGCAATCCAGTCTACGCACATGGCATTAAATACCTTGTCTGTCTCAAAGACCTCAAATTGTCTGGTTGGATCTGGCCTGGATCTCTCTTCTAAACACAAACTTGTGTGTTGAACTACCTACTTGATATCCCTACTTGCATATCAGAGGGATCTCAAGTTAGACATGTCTAAAGTGTGGTATTTCCCTAAAACTTTTTTCTTCCACTTGTTCACACATCACATCGAACCCACTAGGAAACCTTGTTGGCTCTACCTTCAGAATATATCCAGATTCTGTCCACGTCTTGGCACTTCCACCTGCAACACCCCAGTCCAGGCAGCTGTCATCTCTCACCTGGATTATTTCAATAACTTCCCGCTTCCATTCTCGCCCCCCCCCCCACCATCTGTTCTCCATAGAACAACACAGCAGCCAGAGTGATCTTGTTATTACCTATCAAATCACATCACCCCCTGCTCAGAACCTTTCCATGGCTCACAGAGTTTAAAGGCAGAATGTGACTCTCCCCCCACCCCCTGAGAACATTCCTCTCTGATCTCATCTCCTATTACTCTGCTCCTCTCTCTGCTCTAGTCCCACTGGCCCTTTTGCTGTTCTTCTGGTGCCAGTGCAGGCATAAGCTAAGGGATCTAAGGGAAGAAAAGAACAGAATCCAGAAATGGACTTATCTGTGTATTTAAATGCTTTATTTAAAATGCTTGTTTTAGCATTTACTGAAAAGGGGGGAAATGATATACTTTCCAAGAAATGGTTTTGGGACATTCAGGAATGAAATGCAGGCAGATCTAAAGTCCGAGCCTCCTGGGTGATACTCTGTGAAATTGCATTTCATTTCACCCAATCTCCTAGTTAACACTCAGAAACACAGGGGTTGTTTTGCACCCCATGAGTGTGTAGGCACGTTAGCAGAGTCTCGGGAACAGACAGATGTGAGGCAGGGCCAGGAGGGAATAAAAGCCCACGAGTGTACTTCTAGGCTACAGTGGAACCCTCAGTGCTCAAGACAGTACCATCCACAGCTGCCTATCTCCTTTGGGGACCTGGGAAGCTGTGGCTGTGTCTGGGAGCACGCCGTCTTATCTCTTACCTTCTCTGTGGAGATATAACCACCTCTGTGTTTCCACATCATTTGCCATCATAACTGGTACATTGAACAAGCAGGTCTTAGAAGGTTCAATTGCAAAGCAACATTATTTGTATTTCCAAGTATCTTCTATAATCCATTCCATGGGATAGTTCTTTACCATAGCCTAGATGAAAATTCAGGCAGACCCCTGAGTTGTCTGGTGACTCTTCAATAATACAAATGGATCTGCAGTCAGTCACTTTAAATCGCAAAACCCCACTCATTTTAGTAATTAAATTCCGTGTAATAGTTAAAACCTTGCTTTGCAGATAAACCTTCTCATCCTCTAAGCCTGCAGTAGGGGTGGGGTTGTGATCAGCTTTTTCTCTTTTTGTCCAAGCAGGGCTTCTCCTCTTGTTACCCTATTATGCTAACCACAGTTTCTGGCTTCTCCAGGATGGAGATCTGGGGAGACAGAGTGGTAAGAAGAATGGAAAAGATCTTTCCTGATTGATATTATTGTGGTCAGTCTTCTCCAGACTCGGCAGATATTTTAAGGTAACTCTCTTATGTGGGGATCCTTCAGAAACCCACCGATGAAAGGAGACACCTTCATTAAAACAGACTTCCAGATTTCCATCAGTGACAGGCTTCTGGAGGGGCAGAGCCAAGTGGCAGCCCTTAACAGCCAGCAGCAAGGTGGGTGCAGTTACTATAATGGGCAGAGTGTCTGCAGCAGCAAAGCAGAGTATTTCAGCACACGAGAATCTTTGATGTTTGTTCATTGTCCATGGTGGCCCTAGGACCAAAACAGATCGGAATTCTACTAGGAATCACTTGATTTATGTAACTGGGAAATCTCTAGATCCAGTGACTAGAAACCTGAGCTCAATGTAGAGTCATAGCTCATCACCCAAGTCTCAGATCTGAATCAGCTGAAAGACATAGAAATGTCTGATTTTGCAGCTGGGTCCAAGGAGCAGCGACAGCACCTGGGAATTTGTTAGAAATGTAAATTTCCAGACCCTCCCCCAGCCCTACGGACGCAAACACTCTGGAGGAGGGTCCAGCAGTCTTTGTTTTAGCAGGCACTTCAGCTGAGTCCTGTGCATGCTAAGGTCTGAGAACTCTGACCTTAAGAGAAGGAGAGGCTGGGAAGCCTTAGAAGGGACCCTGTAACATTGCTGTAAGTACCTAGTGTCAATCTTCCTTTAAGTCTTCTCCGGAAGATCTGCAGCCATTAACTAGGGTAACTGCAGTGAGGAAGGGGGACTGTCTAGGCCTTTGGGAAATTTCTAGCGTGAGTTCTGAGTCGATGCTAATCTGTAAAGTTCCAACATGCCTCTGGACCACGGAGAGGGGTTGGGGGTAGGGGTCTCGTGTGGTGATCAAACAATAAATGAAATTTTGGGGTGTGGCTGCCTCACAGTGGGTCTACTCACCCCCACTATGGTTACTTTCCCATCCCTGAATAGAGCTGTAATAGGTGTCCTCAGCAACTAGAAGAACCCCTGTATTGATTCCCTGACCTGGGTGATGAGCCTTATTATGGTAGGCAGGACCATGCAGAAGCCACCTGGAATTTCCTCTTCTTACCTAAGAGTAAACTAAAAGCAATGCCACATCCCTGGGAGAACTGCAGAGATTAGTATTTCCATCTAATATTTGAACAATACAGGGGCTGTTCCACCACATCCTCATTTAACTTATCTGTTTGGCATGACAGAAGGAAGATGGTTATTGGAGAATGACTGTGGATTCTTATGGAATCATTCAGGTACCGGACCAGATGTAGCCTCTTTACTGGATAACACAACACTGCTTCTGGTGCTTTGAAGGCAACCATTGATCTGGCGGTTGCTTTTTTTCCTCAACACCAAATTAGCAAAGATCCCCAGGTGGAGTTTGCTCCCAATTAGCAGGATCAGCAAAACACCCTCCCTGTCTTACCTCAGACCTCTGTGACTCTTCCGCTGTCTGACAACATCCAGTCTGCAGGGGCCTTGATCATCTTGATATTCCCCAGAACACCATGCTAATATATTACATTATTGACACGGTGAGCAGGAAGCAGCACATACTCTCGATGCCCTAATAAGACATATGTAGGCCAGAGGATGGGAGAGAAACGCCAAGAAAAGTCAAAGGCCTACTACCTCAGTGAAGTTTCTAAGGGGTCCAGGGGTCTGAGAAACGTGGGCATTTCCTCTCCAAATAGAAGGGCAAATTGCTATACTTTGTATCACCTGCCACTGAGAAAGAGCTACAGTGTTCTCTATCTCCTGATTTTTGAGATAACATAGCCTCTTTCTGAGGGTATTGTTCAAAGCAACATTTGAGTGATCCACAAAGCTGCCGAGTTTTGTGTGGGGACCAGAGCAGAAAAAGCCTCCCTAGCAGCGTTTCTCAGCATCAGCAGTGTTGACATTTGGGGGACAAATAATTCTCCAATGCGGGAGGCTATCTGCGAATGGTAGGATGTTGTTTAGCAGCATCCCTGGCCTCTACGTCCGGTTGTGACATCCAGAAATCTCTACAGACATCGCCAGATATCCCAGGGGGAGCAAAACTGCTGTCACTTGAGAATCCCTGGCCTACAGCATGTCTAGGTAAGCCTCGGGGTGAGTAAAGCGCTGGCTGACGCTTAACTGCAACCTCGTGAGAGACCCCCGACCCAGATCTTTCTAACTAAGCTATTCCTGGATTCCTGACTCTCAGAAACCATGAGAGATAATGAATGCTTGTTGCTAAGTTTGGGGATAATTTGTTTTGCAGCAATACACTGATCTACCAAGCCATACGGTTGGCGTACACAGCAGCAATTGTCGTCCAGTGTAGGCAGTGTACACCAGACTGGAGTTGAGCAGGTCCTGAATGTGCAGGTGAGCTCCGTGAGCAGGCAGCTCCTACTCCCATAGCATCTCCTCTTGCTGCACTGTAAGTCTCCCTCAACCCACACCTTTGTCCTTTTGGGATTGACAGATGGTGGGGGAAGAAACTGTTTGGACCAGGTTCACAGATGGTCCCTTACAATTTGAAGGCATCAGATAGATGTGGACTGTAGAAGCATTATAGCCCAAAGCAGGAATGCGGTAAGAGAAGTTCTCTCAAGGCTGAACCCTGAGCAGTTGTCCACTTTGTCTGGATGGAGAGATGGCCAGAGTAGGGGTATTTGCCAATTCGTGGGTGACTAGTGGTTTGGTATATTGGTGGCACAGGAGTCTGAGGAAGACGTTTGCAGATGAATCTCTAAATATGGGCACCCTCCTATGTGAATGCTCACCGTAGGGCATCCGGAATGAGGCTCTCAGTAACCAATTGGACGGGATGCCCATTTTGTGGATGTCAGCAGGCAGCCCCTTTCCCAGCCACCCTGAGGCTTGCTCAGTAGGCTCACGTAGGATGTGGCCATTGTGGCAGGAAGCCAAGTCGCGTGTGGGCTCAACAATATGGACTTCCCCTCCGCAAGGCTGCTCTGGCTGTTGTCACTGCTGGATGCCTAAGCTGCTGACAGCAGAGACTAATGCTGAGCCCTGATGCGGCATCATTCCCCAGGGAGACCAGCCAGCCACCTAGTAGAAAGTTTATTACATTGAACTCTTTCCATTGTGGAAAAAAACGTTATTGGAATAGTCACACTCCTTAGAAAGGAAGGTTTAAATCATCTTGCCAGGAAGGAACCCCAAACAACTGAAGTGTTGGTTAAAGGCAAATGGAACGTGGGTTAGACACTGGAAGAAGCTCATTAACGATTATTATTCAACTATTATCATTATCAATCAACTAGTTTTGTTACCAGTTACCAAAACAAGAACTTTTGCAACTCTGCAATTTCTTCTTTGCTTGTTAAGCATAACACTGAGTGTCGTTGGTGGTTAAATTTACAATTTAGTCTTTAGGTTAAGGAATATCCAAGGTGCTATGGTGACTAAAAGAGAAGAACTGACATCACCCAGAGCTCAATACAGTGGCTGAGGCTGCCTCCTTATAGCGGTGCCACTCTGTGTTACCCCCCTTTTGGGGACAGAGTGAGCCTACATTCATTTATATGACGCGGAAGTATGACGTTGGATGGATACAATGGAATGTGTGGATCTGAGTAGCAAAAGAATGGATATACCAGATTGTGTCTCTTGGCTGTTAGGTCCGAATTCATCCTTCTAGATACTCTCCATCCCCTTTTCCAGACTCACTCATCTGGCCAATTTCTTGTTAGGTTCTTCCAATGGGAGGCATAGGTAGTAGGTCCCAGTGTGAGAGAAAGAGATTAATCATTTCCCCGGCTACTGGCAGCAGCAAGATTGTGCAGCTGGGCTTGACTGCTTGTGCTACAAGCTCCACAAGCCTGGGGGTGGTTTCGGCAACACTGGCAGTAAGTAGCCACTCATAGGATCCAGCCGAGGGACAGTGGCAGCTTCCCATTCTAGGTTACAGCTGCCTCCTTTCTCTGCTCCTAGCACTTCCAGCAGTTTTTAACCAGTTCCCTACACTGCAACCTTCTCTGCTTGAAATATATATAGTGGTTTCTACTCTCCTGTTTGGACACCGAGTGCTACAGAGGTCTTTCTGTATCAGAACAAAGTCAGCTTCCTCATTCTCTAGTTTAAAAAAAGAAAAAAAAGTGCACCATATTTATGTAAGAAGACCCAGATAATGGATACTTAAGTTGCTCTCAATCTTCTTTCTTCATCAGTAAGGGCAATAAAGACATTTCCATTTTAGGAAAGTATCGTCAAGGCATATATTTGGCAATGTTTGTCTCTTCCTCAATCTGGAACGATACCTGCTAAAGTTCTTATGCAGGGATCTAAATGGCTGTTATGAGATTCAACTAGACTGTAGAATCTAGAGAGTGTCCATCTGCAGCTAGTTATTTATTGCTTAATAAATATTCTAAAGTACTGTCCACATATATGCTAGTCTTATCTCTTCCAAATGAATTTCAAGCACCTTGAGGCTGGATCTTATATCACCTTTTGAATATGTTAATGGGGTGTGGAGAGAAGTTTTAGTAGTGCCTCTTCCCTTATGATTAATGTCATCTGAATGTGTCATCTGATTGGCAGTCTGGGAAGAGCCCTACATGCCTTCATGCGAATGGGGCTCAGGTTTTCTCTTGAGAAAGAAGCTGATGACATAGCTAACACTGCCACATAGCGTTGTGGCTCAGATCGAGGTCCAGTTAATTTTATTATTGGTCTTCCTCCAAATCCCTTTCCTGGAGGCAGTGCTCCTTAGAAACCATTTTCCCTTAATTATAAAATATTTTAATTGATTTGTGGGCAGTGCTCTAATTCCACCTGTGCGGCCTGTCCCCTTGGTCCACCTCGGGGCTGGAAGGCTGCCCAGCCCAGCACAATGCCCTCGTCCCCACGAGGCTGCCTCAGTCCCCATCTCAGCCATCTGATATTCTGCTTCCGCTAGACGAAAGAATGAAGGCCTCTTTAGCTCTTTGCTAACACCATCCTTCTACTCTGTTTTCTGATTGTATCTTCTTTAATTAAACAGCACTTCTGCTATCTTCTCATCTTTTAGGTATTCAGATCATTCTGGCATTCTACTTCCAGCTCTTAGATTTATTTGAGTTTTCTAAAATGGGAAAGGTTGGGTCCTGTTGACAGTTGCCATGCCAACTCCCAATCAGCCTTTTCCTTGGGAGGATTTTTCTTTAGCTGCTCTACACTTTCACAGCAACTTATAGTGTGACAGGAATCTTCAAACATTCACAAGCAACTTGGCCAATAGGGATGTGGGGCTGCAGTTCCTAAGATGAATATCCAGGCTTTTTCCAGGAGGGTTCTACTTTTATAATCTTCAACATAATCCCTTTAAAGCAAGAATCCCTGGCAAATCTAAGCTGCTATGGTATGAAAATTCTAATTAAAGGCAACAATCAAAGCTGCTTTTGGTGGTAATGCTGTTATACTGTCAACCTCATTGTCAGTCAGATTAACAAAATACACTTCTAATAACCCAGCTAATGCAGGGAGAAGTAAACAGCCAAGTCCGTTTAACTCTCAGAAGCTTAAATGCTGTTAAATCACATTTCCTGTTTATGAGGCTGAATCCGAGAAGATATGCATTAATTATATTTCCAAATAGTCCAAAAACATGATAAGGCATTTTTTATATTTCAGTAATAATCACACATAACAGTGATTTATGATCGCTTCTACTACAGTTAACAAAATAGTTTATACTGAACATTTAATAGATTAAACAGCAGTTATCCAAGATAAATCGTCCATTGATATGCTCATTTTCTCGATAGCCACATCCACAGGCTAAGTCCACAACTGGATCACATCCACATTTCATGGTAATTGGTTTTAAAACTATCAAAACAGGAGGAACATGGAAATTCCATCTGCAAATCCTCAACGGCCCATTGGAGATCTCTTAATGCATGTGCTTTTCTTTTCATGGGAATTCCACATGCAAGTTGTGAAGCAGAGGAAGGTGCTATTAGAAGTACCAGGTCTGACATCAACACGAATTGGTTTTACCTCTTGCTGGTATGTATTCCCTATGCTCACATTCAAAGAAAACCCAGAAAACTCTTAGATCTCCATCTGAATTTCAGTCAAAGGATTCAGCTCTGCCTCTTTCATCCCAGCCCAGTTTTCCTGTCAGGAGCACCACTGGTTTTCTCTGTAGCTGTCAGCACATTTGGAACAGATTTTTCTTTCTGGGAAAAGATTCTACAGCAGTCTAGATTTTAGTTTATAATTTCATTGTAAATAAGAGAGACTTTTAAAGAGTCACTTCAGAATCACTGCACAGCTTCATCTGGGATTTGGCCAACAGTTGTTAGAGTTCTATTAAATCAGCTTTCTTCTAACAGTGAAAAGAAGAGGTGGAAATTTTGTATTTTCTCAAATCCTCAACCACTGCATCAAATAGCTAAGAATGATTAAAAATAAAACAACATGGAGTATTTTGGGACTGTACATTCTACTTTTGTTTTGTTTCCCCAGAGATGAAGAGAATTGAGAAAATGTCATCTTAGCATATGTAATTTGAAGTCTGTCCCTTCTACCCGAGCCTAGAATCCTCTTGTTAGGCATAACATAGGGTGAGGAATATGTTGTTATTACAGACAGGGCTTAGCTTGTAGCTGACAAAGGAGTACTGCTATGACAGAAGATGGAGTTTTTATTTGTAATGGAAGAAAGGGTTGACTTTCTAAATACCTAGTGGTAGATCGAAATTTTAAAGAAAGCTAGATAAAAATCTATTTTCAGAGCCTTGTTGCTTCCTAAGAGTGAAACTAGAATTTCCCTTCTTAACCCCAAGCTAGAGAAACACTTCTGTTTCACACAAAACACCACAAATCAAATGATGGCCAGACTTTCAGTTTCCCATTAGAAAATACCTCGGTTCATTCAACAGTAAATATTAATGAACACTTGTGAAGTGCCAGCTACTCTATTAGAAGCTGTATGAGTCCGGGGTTGAACACAAGAGACCAAAGTCCCTGTCTCTATAGAGCTCACGCAAGCTTCTCGTAAGGGCTTCTGGAGTGAATTGAAACATTAACAAAGCGTTGATATGATGAACGAACTAGTGTTCTTCACTAAATGGGTGAAGTCGCAAATGTGATAAGAATCATAAATTTAAAAATACTACCTAAAGAACTTCTGCGACATTCTTTTCCTTTATGTAGCACCGAGGTCCCTGAACTTCTTCACTGTTGTGCTAATTGTAATGAACAGAACTTCTATATTCATTTGTCCCGTGCAAAGGGTTGTTTTCCGGAAACTATCTCGCTGAAGAGAAAAAAGTCTCTTTTCTGGGGAGGTTCAGACACGGAGCTGTAAATGATTCTGGCAGGATGAGTGCTGAAGGGAGAGGATATTAGCAATTGGAAAATGGCTTTGTTGCCAGAGGCTACATACGAAGGCATTAGAAGCCACATGATAGAATTAGACGGAGGATCTGTACAGGTCTGGTTAAGCTTAAAATGTCTAACAACCCACCAGGAATTGATTGTAGGACAGCCTTAGAGCAGCCAAATGTACCTTTTATTATCTCTGAGAAGGGAGTCTTATTTTGAAATCCAGAATTTTGGGAGAGTGATCATGACTGAAGTCCTAGATGCTTTGCTCTAGTCCACCCACCCCACTCCTCAGTTTTGGTACCCAGCTCCATCCCACTGTGCCTTCTCATTTAAAAGAGCTCCAACCTTGAACGTCCCCATTGCTGAAAAAGGAAAGAGGAGGAGAAAGAGGAAGATAGGAAATACTTCTCTGCTACTGCAAGTGATTTGAAGGTTTGGGACTGTGCTGGGGGATGTATAGCCGCTTCTGTCCTTAGACACGTCCCAACCATCTGGTCACTTGGGCTCCCCCCTCCATCTGGCTCTAATCATCTCAGCCAAACTTAGGGTTGTCTGTTGGTGGCTGTGATTTTCTTTTCTTAAGTTTCTCATTAATTTTGTCCTGCCTTAGTTTTGTTTTCCTTTTAGTAATGCAAGTCTTGAATAAATTAATTTGTTGCTCATGGGCAAAAAAGTGGCTTCAACAACCAGCCCAAAACATCCTCAAGCTATAACAATGTTGATTCACCTGTAAAAATCTGCATTTACTCTGCTCAAACCTAATGGTGTCTTCCTTTTGGGCCATGAACACACCCATTATATTTCTCCAGGGGCTAAGAGGACACCTCAGCACAGGTCCTACAGTTCTTCCAGAAAGAGCTGTCCCGAAAGCAGATGGAAGGATAGGAGGCGGCATCAGAGAAGAGCTTAGGCTTGATTTCTGTTAAGTCTTTCTGATTTTTTTTTTAAACCCATGCACACGTTTATTTAAATAGCTGAAGAGTTTATAATCCTGGACATTGAAAATAAATACATTTTCTCTTAGGTGTTTTGACTTGGTTTGAGCTATGTTTCCTTGTGTTACAAAATGGTCTGGTCTTTTAGGAAGCCACAAGTTGTAGACACTGAATTGAGCTGAATCATTTATCCAGCAAGAGCATTAGGAACAGGTGGGAGCAGTTACTAGAGGTAAAACAGAGACCCAAGAAGAACAAAATGACCCTCTAGGAAATGTTCCAATGCCTCAAGACCAGAGGGACAGGGGGAGAAGTCACAGGCACCATCTCGCTAATGCTGACCACACCCTCTGCACAGGGAAGCCGGGGCATTCCCTGTATTAGAGAGCAGCGGGCATCCTGCAGCCAGGAGACCCATGCTGTCACTCTGTCTCAGTCTACAGGTTTGGTGGCCCGTAGATCCCCCTCCTCATAAAATTCACTGGCTTCTGAGCACCTCCTGTGGCCCTTAAGAAAGAATCAGCCGCTTTGTGACCACTTTGTCCAAGCTGCTGCAACCGGTTAGAGATACACTTAAGTATCACTTAAGTATCTTCAGTGAGTTAGTGGATGATATTAAAAATCGCAGTAGGATTAAGTGAAGACAACAGGACATACTGTTGTCTCAAATGCAAAAAGAAATAGGATCTACAAATAATAAATGACTAGAAGGACTAGTATTAAAAGTTTAAAATTCGTTATATCTGGGCTATGAGCTTATGGATCGTTTTTACATCCTATATTTATTCGTATTTTTATGTGTTATCTATTACTTCTCAACATGGCATAAATAGCGGTGCTTGATGCTTGGACACCCCCCCCCCTTCAGTTAAATACTTCCTGAGCACACACAGTGCGTGGCACCCGGTGGAGGGAGCAAAGCTGAGCACGTTCCAGGGCTTTACCTTGAACTACTGCTTCCGTGAATCTGACAGCACCGGCCCCTCCTCCAGGATGAGATCCTGAGCTTTTATTCCCTTCACAGGCCCAGGACTCCCAGCTGGTCCTGCAGTGTTGGTAGTATACTCTCTCAGGTATGGGCGAGGCTCCCTCCTGCCCTTCCTTCAGACCCAGCTCGGATGTCAGCACATCAGGAGGGCTTTCCGCACCACCCGATGTAATCGTGCCCTCACCTCCCACCACACCGGATTCCGCGTCGTGCTTTGATTTTCTTTATGGCATTTGTCAATATGTATCTCTGTAGGTATGTGTGCACTTGAACGCTGACCTGCCACCAGAATGTAATGCCTTGGAGGAGAGGTCTCCAGGCTTGCTCATTGCTATATCTCTGTCCATCTAGAACAGTGCCTGTCACATAGTGGGCACTCAATAAATATTGTTGAATTGAAGTTCTCTTCCTCAAGGGAAAAGGAGAACAGAGATGCAAAAGACATTGCTGAAGTAGAGTAAACAGGATTTGACCACTGGTTGAATCGGAGAGCAAGGCAGGAGAAGGATGGTGATTGCAAGAATGGGTGTGTTCTCAGCAGACAAAGAAAAACTAAGAGGAGCTTCTGGTTTGGAGGGAAAGAGGACCAGTCTGGACATGTTAAATCTGAGTTTCCATCCGGAAAGTTGGAGTTGTGGGTGAGAGGCTCTGAAGAGAGGTCATGACTTTGCCATGGTAGAAAGGGAATATGGGCAGTGATGTTGCAGCAGCATGTTGGGGTGAAGGAAGAAAACAGGGATACACTGTCGGATCTTTTTGATTGTCTCAGTAGACTAGGAGGCAAGGCCACTCGCTGAGAGTAAGGACAGCAGTCAGTGTGTCATTTGGAACTTGAGCCCAGGCACAGTTTGAAACAACTGCTCTGGTGAACATACAGTCAACTCCTGAGGAACAGCAGGGCAGACCCATGTAGTTTTTCTCTCCAATAAATATAGAATCCTTTTATAGTGGTTTTATGAAAACTATTCAGGAAGATGTGAGAAGGAATAGCCTTGACATTGTATATCCATTTTGAGGCATATATTAGTTTTATCACTCTCTTTGTTTTCTGCTAGACAGTTTTTTTTACATATTGTTATGCCTTTCATTAGGAATTTGTTTTGGGGAATTTATTAAGATGCCAGAATCCTTCAACATCAGAAACATGGAAAAGTAGCAACTATTCATTGCCAACATTCCCAACTCCTCTGCTGTCTTTCCCAGTGTTGAACATCTGTCTCCAGGGAAGCCCATCATCACCTCCCCTCCACTCCTAATACCAAGTTGTTTTCTTTACTCGGTGGCTTTGGGCAGAGGGGAGAAAGAGCTCATCATGAAGACCGGTGGTACTTGGGCCTTCCAGGCCACTGTTGCATCGACAAGGGGAGCAGGGGAGAAAGGGGGACCCTAAAATCCATCTCACTCTCTGGGGAGGGCACCACATGCTGCCCTGGTGGTTCAGGACCCACCCCTATGTACCTCCTTTTGGTCTTTTCCAAGCATGCCTCCCCTATCTCTCTAGATCTGATCTCTTGTTTTTATTTGATGGTACCTCTGTTGGGAATTTAGGGATTTGTGTGGAGTGAGAAGCAGGAAATAATAATAATAATAATTTACATTCCCACCAACAGTGCAGGAGGGTTCCCTTTTCTCCACACCCTCTCCAGCATTTACTGTTTGTAGACTTTTTGATGATGGTCATTCTGACCAGTGTGAGGTGATATCTCATTGTGGTATTAACTTGCATTTCTTTAATGATTGGCACTAGTGTTT